AAGAGGATTCAATGTGAATATAAGCTTATTAGACTAGAATATAGTAAATTTGTATTGCCTGTTATATAATATTCCATAAAACAACATTCTCATAAAAAAAAAAAAAACTTTACACTTTCCCAGAAGAACCGAGGGAACAAATCCATCTTGTTAAATGATTGACTCAGAAAGATTAACACTGTTTCGTAAGAAAAACTACTTTACTATTCACATGAGTGTATTATGCTAATTCAGAAAAGCAAACATTTCTAACAGACAACGACAGACTGTTACTGAGAGAACCTTGAGCCTCCTGGAGGTCGTCTGAAGTGGTAGACCCGACCTGGAGACATGCCAGAGGATGCGCTGGTCGAGGTCGGACCATGGATGTCACCTCCAGGAACAGCGGAGGTCGAGAACTTCAGGAGGTTCAACTAGGATGTATTGATTGTGAAAGTTGTTTAGGTTCAAGGTCGCACATACTGGGGAAGCGTCGTATTTAACACGATTTGATTTGTTAAGATAAATTGTATAAAAAGATAAACCTTGTAATGATCAACTAATGGTCGGTTTATATTTATATTTATATTGATTTATCTTTATCCACAAATAGGACAGGGGTGATTGTTAGGGTCATAAGACAGGTTCCAACATACAGAGTGTAATAGTCAATAGTGTAGCTTATCATCCATAAGATAATATAGCTAGGCATCTGAGAGGATGGAGGGCTCACCTCATAGACAGAAGGGCGTTTATATCCTGAGAAAGTCAGAATCATTTTGAAGGTTCGTTACTAGACTTCTTGATCATTAGGTTTTAATAAGTTATCCTGTTTAAAGAATCAACTGATCTAAGTCCGTAACAAAGCTATCATGCAATTCATTCACCATTCGACACTTCACCCATCACATATGAACCCTGGTGTGTCGGCGTTTTACGGATTTAATCCAACCCGAACCACTATTGAATTTTGGATAACAGGGTCGACATTCTATGTATTTGAGCCATTAGCGAAGCCATGTTTTCAAATAAACCACAGTTGAATGAGCCCAAATTCTGTGAACATTTTCTCCCTTATGTGTATTCTGGATGTTTGCACTTTTTGCAGCTATTGCCTCAAAAGTACATTGGAGTAGTATTTGTAGTATTTGTAAGCTACAGTTATTACTCATTCGAGGCAAAGTGTAATTTTACAAACCCCTTTTAATAGGTTTCAAAGCACTTATTATACATTTAGCCGACTAAAATCCTATACAACCATTGTAACAACTAAAGACATTGTAAAAACTAATGACTTCCATCTTGCTTTAACCATTCAAAACAGCGCAACCAGAATTTGACACAGCAAGCTAAAATATATTCAGGTTCTTGGCTCTTATCAGCGAAACCAATGCAGGTCTATAAAGTTGAGATGAGTCAAATATTGTACAAATTGAGGAAACAAATTGAATGAAATCGTTTAGTTCCTTCACAGTCGAGTGGTCAAGCACAACGTCCATTAATGTGGTGAGTCATCCTTAGTTGGTCACCCATTCAAGGTTATCAGTAGTTTGTAGGTTAGTTGGGTAAAGGTTGACCAACCTACCACTGTGTTGAATTGATTAGGCAGCCATAACACTATTGTCTTACCTTACTGCAAAGATGATAGTTGGTTTAATTCAACATATTTTAAACTTAAACAAAAACATTCCTTATAGATACACGTCAACTTGAAGAGATATTTATGAGGCCACAAGTATTGATTTTGGATACTGAGAACTTTAATTTTATTGTGAATTCTTAAAAGAGACTTTTTTATGTTTTCAAATCCATTTAATAATAATAATAATAATGTCTTTATTTAGCAAGCGTTTTTCAGATACAATATTTCTGCTTTTCAAAACAACTCTTGTCCTTAATACTAATAAACAATTCATAAAAACTAACTATAAAACAATATATAAAAAATCTATGAAAACAATGTAAAACAATCCATACCAACAATCTATTAAACAATCTTAAAATATTAAAAAAATCTATAACAAACATTACTTAAAATAACCAGAATCTGCAATACTAGGACTAGACCAATTAACAATAAAAACATACATTTACTTTAGACAATTACTTTTAGCAAACAAATATTCCTTTAACCTTTTTTTAAAAGTGTTCAAAGAGTTGGCCCTTATTACTTGATCGGGGAGAGCATTATACATGGTAGGGCCGAAGTATGAGAAGGCGCGCCTCCCCACTTCATGCCTGACTCTAGGAAAGTGCAACAACTTGTCATGTCTCGTGCTGCGGACAGAGACATCTCGACGAGAGAGAAGTTTCTCACACAGGTACTCAGGCTGGCCGTGCTCTATAGCTTTACGTATCAGGCTGCAGGTTAGGTATATACAATTATCTTTAATTTGCATAATGTTTGCAGCGTTTCTGTAAGGAGTTATGTGATCTCTTCTCGTGCGATTATAAATAAATCTAAGTGATGCATTTTTTATTCGTTGTATTTTATTTAGGTCGCCTTTCGTAATGCTATTTCCGTATGCTGGAAGACAATAATCAAAAACTGACAATACCAAGGCCCTTACTAGTTTTATTTTAGCGTTCTCAGGTAAAATTCCTTTCAATCTATATAGACCCCGCAGCCGGCCAAGGGCTCGCTGACACATGAGGTTTACATGGTCAGTTAGCGTCAGGTCTTCGTCAAGAATTACTCCTAGCGTTTTTAGTTTCTCGCATATATTGATGGCTGTCCCATTAATTTTAATTTTACTGACCATGTCTTGCCTAATTTCGTTTAAAACGTCTTGCGGTGCAATATGGAGAACTGAACATTTATCGTTGTTCAGTTTCAATCCATGGCTCTTTGACCAGACAGATATAGCATTCAGCTCATTATTAATGACATCAAAGGCTTTAGCGTAACACGTTTTACCATAGGACAGGTGTATCTGGCAATCATCAGCATACAAATGTAAATTGCATGTTTTTACAATTTTTGTGATGTCAGCAGTGTATATATTGTATAATATTGGACCTAAGCATGTTCCTTGGGGAATTCCTCTTTCTTTTGACAGGGGAGATGATACTTTACCGATGATTTTTGTTACCTGAGTTCTGTTTTTGAGGTAAGATTCGACCCATTTTAATGCTGTGTCATTAAATCCGAAATAGTGTAGTTTGGCTAACAACAATGTATGAGATAATGAATCAAACGCTTGAGAGTAATTCAACATGATTAAAGAGCTACATTTACTATTATCTTTTGTTTCTAAGAGATCACTATACAAATTTAGAAGCGAAGTGCAAGTGCTGTATTGTTTCCTGAAACCTGATTGTTGTTTTGGTAAAATGCTTTCTTTTTCGATAAAATCTGAAATCTGTTTGACTACAATTTTCTCTAGAACCTTTGATAATGTTGGCAGTACTGATATAGGTCTTAGATCTTTAACATTCGTCGGATGCTTAGTTTTAGGCAGTGGGCTCACAATACTTTCTTTCCAGGCATCTGGGAAGTATCCTGTAGCTAGTGACTGGTTGATCAAATGAGTAATTGCTGAAAGACAGTACGGACTCATTGATTTAATCATAAAAATATTTATACCATCATTTCCCTTTGCTTTTGAGATTATTTCATTCATTGCTTTTTGGACCTCTAGTTCTGTTACGTAAGCAAATTGAAATGCTTTGATGCCGTGTAATTTATTGGTCATGTAATATTCAATTAAGTTTTGATCCGGGCTTGAGTTAGATCCCATGTCAACGAAATGCTTGTTAATTTCATTAATACTTGCAAATGAATAATCGTTTGGTCTACTATCATCACCTACATTGCAACTTCGCATGACTGACCAGAATTCACTAGGTTTCTTTGAATTACTCAGGGTTTTCATGTAGTAAGACCTTTTTGCTTTGTGTACTAAAATATTCAACTCATTCCTAATAGTTTATTTTCCTCAGTCCATTTACGTTTGGTACAATTGTATAATTTTGAACAAATGAGTTTTCTCTAATATGGTAAACGTTCCAGTACCGATTGACACCTCCAGTTAGATACCTTATATACAGGGTGTCCCCTAACTCTCTATCGGTACCATTACTGGACCAAAGACAAACTAACTTAGCATATTAAAAAATTTCAAAACTTAAATGTTACCTGTACAGCCACCATTTTTGCAAAACTTTATTTTATAGCAGTTTTTGTAGTGAATTAAATTTCGTACTTAATTACCCAGAGATCTATTTCGAAAAATATAATTTTGTAAGGTTCAGTTTTAAAATAGTGGTCATATAAAATCTTTAAACTTAAATAACATAAAAACCACATTGGGAAACAACATTGCTGTAGTAATGTTTTAGTTGGACGATTTAATTACCCAAGCTAAGAAAATAGGGCTCATAAGGAATACAACTTATTTATTGGATGTTGTATACCTCTTCAAAATTAGTTTTCCCTTTATTTATGAACCAATTTTCTTAAAATTGGCATCGTTAACAACATTTCAATAAAATTGTCCAATTAAAACATTGCAGTAGCAGTTTTGTTCACCATGGAGTTTCTATGTTATTCAAGTTTAAAGACTTTTAAATGGCCTTATGAGACTAAAATTATAAAAAAAAATATTTTTTTTAGTTCTAAGTAGGCGTTTGCGTTGTTAATCTATGTGACAAATTCACTACAAAAGCCTTGTCAAATAAAAATGGTTTTGTTAATAAACGAAATGGTGGCTGTATGGGTACTAATGAGTTTTGGACATTTTAAACATGATATTTTAGTTTGCCTTTGTCCAGGAATGGTATCTTAAAAGGTTGGTCAGATGTCGGGGACATTCTGTACGTTAATTAGTGTTAGGTATTAATGCATTTAAATTACTATCTTTAGCAGGCATAGGGATGAGCATCTATGAGGAAATATGCGTTTTTTATCTAGTGATATTGTAGGGGTTTTATATATACAGTAAACACATTTCTTAGTCTATGCTTGTACATGCATATAGAATGACTTGAATTTACTTACATACTTGTTCTCTTTGTTACAGAGAGTTTGTCAACACCTCTTTATTCTGCACGTATTACTTTGGCAACACTGTCTATGTCGTCTTCGTAGCTTCATCTTTTAAACAGGTATTTTTTTCCATTACGGCTTTATATATTTTTAAATCTTTACTGTGGATTTGAGAGACTTCTTAACGTGTGACCTTCTTTCTAATCAACTATTTTTAGTGCTCTATATTTCGTTTTATTTATCAGTAGAGTTAAGTAGGCCCTAACTACAAAACTATATAAACAAATCATAAACTTGTTTATAAATTATTTTATTATCTCTTGATTGACAATTATTTTAAGTATTCGTCTAATCGTACCGGTAAGTAAAGTTTTGAATAGATTCGAATTACTCATACAATAACTAATGCAAATACGCAAAAAGAGTACTTTGTAAGCTTATCAGCTTATTGGGGTCATTAGTATTTTATTCTTTAATCATCGATGGATTCATCAATTAAAATAATAATGTCAATTTAATACATTATGCTTAGTATTTATTTATATTATTTTAGTAAAATTCGTGCTATACGTACAGTAGACTCCCTCTTATCCGTACACCTTTTAACCGTACATCGGTTTAACCAGACTACACTCGACGGAAATGACATCTCTTTAACCGGAAAATTTTTATCAGCACATCGGTTTAACCGGAGTAGATCGGCAGGAAGTGGGCGGTACTGAAACTACTGTTCTCGGGGAAAAGATCTGCGATACCTCATTGCAACCGATTTGTATCTGTATTGCATCGGAATAAAATGAAGGCAACTGAACAAAACTGCATTATGTAGTAGACTCCCTCTTATTCTACCTCTCCTCGGGGAGTCCGGATAAGAGGGAGTCTACTACATAATGCAGTTTTGTTCAGTTGCCTTCATTTTATTCCGATGCAATACAGATACAAATCGGTTGCAATGAGGTATCGCAGAACGTCAGGCGTTCTAGAATTGGAATAGTTGGGCATTTGTAATCAAAAACTACTTTTAAAATTAATAAAATGGCTTACGGTTGAAATTTAAATGAATGGAGTTTGTTAATATTCTGTAAAATGCACGATAACGGAAATACATGCTGAAATACATTTTACACCTGACTATTTAAATTGTTAAATTATTCAATCCAACGTTAGCATTAAGCTTTTACTTTTTTGTTGTCTTTTGGGAAAAAGAAAAGAGTAGAAAATATTTAAACTGTGTTGGTGGATACTGTAGATGTTAGCGTCTCATAATATCTTGAGTATTGACCACTTTTGCTTGAACAAATTTTCGATTCTTCCATAGAAAGGTTCTAGTGTAGACTTTAAAAACTCATTGAAGTAGGCAGCCTGATGTATATGGTACTTATTGTTATTTTGGGTACAAAGCTAAATCATAATAATAAATTTACAAGGGGACCCGTGCACAAATTCTACATTTTTATAGGGCTTGATTCCGAGACAAAATTAATAATACAATATCCTTTTACTCTTTAAAGATTATGTTTGTGTGAGGGTGAGAGAGTTTTTAGGTGAATAAAACTACTAATTAAAAAATTAAATTTCATGCTTTTAGATCAACAATATGAATAGTGATTTAAATAAATCAGGTTACATTTACAAGAAAGCTTTTTTAAAATCCATTTTCATACACTGTTTTTTTTTTGTTTACAAAAAGGCTGTAGTTTAACATTCAACTGAATGATCGTCTGTTCGATCATATTTATAAAGAAAGTTGGCCAGTATCGCTGAATCTTTTAAAGCAAACTCTAAAAATATCAATATCACTATGCAGGGGAAGCCCTAAAGGAAATTACATTTTTAGTTACTATTCGTCCGCTAGATCATAAGCTTTACAATGATACCTCAATCGTATAAATCGGTTGAGTATGGGTGTAAAAGGGATGTTACAAGGAAACCTCTTATATTGTATTAAGTATATAGATATATTTAGAAAATCAATAGTATTCTTTTCAATACTACAAAGTAAAATTTTGCCCCCAGGTCATAGACATGAACGCCAACATAGACCTGAACATCCGCTTGTACATCCTCCTGTTGGCCATCCCCCTGGTACCTCTCGGCATCATCCGAACCCTCAAGTACCTCGTGCCGTTCTCCGCACTCGCCACCGCCTTCATCATGTTCGGACTTGCCATCACGCTATGGTACACTCTTACCGACCTCCCACCACTGGAAACCAGACACCAGTTCAGCAGCATAGCACAGCTGCCCCTGTTCTTCTCAACGGTGTTGTTCGCCATGGAGGGAATCGGCACGGTAAGAAAGGGGAAAGAAGGGGGAAGGGGGTATGAAAGGGCAAGGTGGATTGAAAGGAATAGTGAGGTTGCTGATACTTGTTTTTATGGTGATGTTGTTGATGAGACAGTGACTAAAGAGAAGAGAAGGACGACCTAAGGGGTTTCAAAAAGAAATTGTGATAAAGAAATATAACTTGAAAGATGATCTACCTAGTTAAAAATGTTTTTTTTTTCATTTAGAGAGCTTTAAGTTGTTGTGGAATTTGATTTGTAATCATAGTGACGGAAAAAGGTCTCAGCCTGCATAATATTTAATGAAAATAATATACAAGACTAGCATTCAAAGTTAAAATTATATACAAGTTTATTATTTCCCATTTTATGTATAAGAATTTAGTAGGATTTTATACCCTCATGCAGTGGTGGTTCTATGACCTTGTCAAGGGGGGGCTACTTGGAGGCCACATTCCCCAAGAAAAGGGGTTCATGGATCCACCCCTAAAAATGTTGGTATTTTTAAAGCCCTTATGTGATTTTCTAAAGCCATTTTTAAAGTCTAGAACTGTATCCAATTACCTTCCATTACAGGACGAACACGAAAATGTAGGTTAAATTTATTTTTCCATCGTCCAATGGGGGGCACTTTAGCGCTGTAGCCGGCCCCCTTGGAACTGCCACTGCCTTCATGGAGATGTGATATTTTTCTGATCACACAACTTTTTACTTTTGCTTATCTTTACTCTGTTTTATTCTGTAATATATCCCATCTCTATTCCCTGTATAATTTATTATATTCCCAGGTGCTACCGATTGAGAACTCTATGAAGAACCCAGAGCACTTCCTAGGCTGCCCTGGAGTCCTCAATATCGCCATGACAGTTGTTGTCTGCCTCTACGCCTTCGTGGGGTTCTGCGGATACCTCAAGTACGGTGAAGAGACCAGGGGAAGTGTCACGCTCAACCTGCCTTACGATCTGTGAGTTTTGCATAATACTTTATACTTTAGTTTAGCAGTTGTATTGTCTAATTGTTTAAAGCAAACTTGAGGGTAAGAATAAGAACATTTTTTTTTCTTTGAACACCACAGTGCATTAATATTATTCGTCAATTAGATATCTGATACAAGGTCACAACAAACCAGCTTTCATACAAATAACACAATTGAGTTAGTAATACAACTGAAGGTAGCACTGACACGGTAACTCTGCTAGAAAATCGAGATGCAGTAATTTTGTTAGGTTGGTACCAACTAAGGGAATCAGCTCATAGCTTTCACAATCCCACAATCCCTTAGTTCAGATGAACTAAGTGCAATGTACGTACTTTATCCCCTATTAAAAATGGAAACCCAAGTTTTGTAGGTAAATCTCAAATTTGTGCTGCATCAATTTTGTACAGTATTACCATTACCTCCAGTTGTATCTCTAGCTCAGTGAATAACTATCAAAATTTCATATAATAATTGAATATAACAATGCTAAAGTGTGGGCACTCCTGAACCTAAACATTTTGATCCTATACATTTTCTAAAGGTTTCTAATAATTATGTAGTTTCTGGAAGGTACAATTTTTTTTGGAAAAATGGTTTATAATCCTAACAGACAAAATAAATTTAATCAATTGGACACTTTTCATCATTCAACTACTAAATTTTTATGGTATTTAATTGATTGATGTTTATCTTAAAACTACTACACTCAATAACTTATGAATACTTAGAAGAAAAAACTTATAGATTTTTCTTAAATACTATTTATTAATCATATTTATTTTATCTCATTCCCAGGTTAATCCAGCTTTGCTAGCCTAAAGTAGATATTTCAAACTAAACAAACAAATTATTATTGACTAATTGACTTACAATTAAATCATGCCCATTTAACATTTTAAACCAAGTGAAAACACAGCTTTGAATGACTCTGTGCTATTCTCCTCAGATTGGGAGAGAGTGTCAAGATCCTAGTGGCGTTGTCCATCCTGTTCACCTACGGACTTCAGTTCACCGTTCCCTCAGAGATTGTCTGGAAGAAGATCAGCCACAAGATCAAGGAAGAGAACCATAACAAATGCTACTACATCATGCGGGCCTGCATGATCCTTGGAACTGGTCAGTACTGTATTGAGAACAGGATTGTAGTCCTTAAATACACAGGGGCTTGTGGGATGACCTTGCGCTTTCAGCTGTAGTATGCTGTGCTAAATAATCTTGTGAGAAGCAATTAAGGAAGAGCTCAAGGTGTAAACACTGTGTGGAAATTCCTATTGCAAACGGTACAGAATCTTTCTCCATATCAAGACAGTTGTAGTACATGAGGGCGAAGGGGTGGTGTTGAACTCTGCTCTAGACACCTGCAACTAGTGCTAGACACCACAGTGTACCATGGAATGTATTATCTGTACCTTACTCCTCTGTGTTGAATATACATTTTTTAAGAAAAAAGAAGCATAAAAATTTTGCTGATCAACAAAGGTTGACAAATCTATAATTCTTGATGTAATTAATAATGGTTTATAATACCAATCAAGAGCCTTTTGTAGCTGCTAATGATTTTCAAAATACGATCTCTGATCCTATTCTAAATGGCGGCTTTTGTGAAACCTTTATTTTTAATAATCGTGATAGTAATCGTCCACCATTCCACAATTTCTACACCATTCATAATCAGAGTTTAAATATCTACATAATTCTTCAGCTCTTGTACATATTCTTACCACATGTTTCCTGTACAGTTGTGATCGCCATCGCTCTACCAGACCTGGAGCCGTTTATTTCGCTCGTCGGAGCGATTTGTTTCTCCATTCTTGGACTGCTGTGTCCGGCCGTCATCGAGATCGCTACTTTCTGGGAAGAACCGGAGTACTGGGGTTTCCTACGTTGGCGTCTCCTCAAGAACTATCTGCTCTGTCTACTCTCCGTGTTCGCTCTCGTATCCGGAACTTACGCCAGCGTCCGGCAGATCATCGACTCATATCAACACGGCGAATTGTGATAGGTCCAAAATAGGACAGAAGTTCCCGGTGGTAAATACTCATTGGTAAAAGATCAGAAATACTTTGAACTGAACTTGTTTTTTTTTTTTATTTGGCTACTGTATTTTGTGTCAATTTAGTATTCCCCCTTATTTATTTTGATTTAAAAAAGGTTTGAAGTATCAGATAAAAATCTGGTTGCATATTAAACACCTCTAAAACTTATTTTCAAGTTATAAACTATACTAAAATTAAAATGCCAACCTTACATTCAAAGTCATATGTATTTTGACTTCAATCACAATAGGTTACTTAAGCCAAATTATTCAATTTAAGTAATAGGTTTATGTGAAATGTGTGAACATAAATTTATTTGAATATATTTAAGAACCAACCTAATCAAAAGAAGGGGATTTGTACATAAAGATTTGACTTTTTTTTATAGAACAATTTTTTTTTATACTCAAAACACTTTAGTGGTATAAGTTGGCTAACATGTTATCCTCTCATACAGAGTCAATTAATCAATGTTAATTAATTATTTTTCAATTTAAAAACATTTTATTTGGTATTTATTTGGATTTATTTTATATTTCACTCCAATAACTTTTTTTGTTCCTCGTAGCACTATAAAGTAACAATTGAGCCAATTTCATTCATACTAGAATTTGATCTAAATATAAATTTGTAACTTTATAATCATATAGGGTATTTTGCTAATGTGTTTGTAAAACTTGTTTAAGGTCCACCCACATAAAATGTATATCAGAATTTTAATGTTTTAAATCTAGGATTATTATGAATAAAGAACTTAAAATGTTGTTAATCAAGTCCCACCTTAGAAATATGAAATTTATAAAGAATACAAAAATGTGACATTTGTACAGCTATAATTCTCTTTCTTGCCATGAATGTGAACTTTTTCGGCTTAGTCTCTTTTATATACGTTACCTATCTCCTGGTTTTGGTTTATTTTATCATCTTGTGAAAAGATACTTAGGCTCTAAAAGTGACTATGGTATTTTTTGGCAACCTTGTAATTTTAGTATTTTACCATTGACAGTATTAATGTAAGATACATTTCTATTTGTAATTTATTGCTAAATGTATTGTACATTACAACTTGATCTTAGTGTAATATTTGTATATTTATTGTAGAAAGTGATGTATTTATTTATATAAATGTTTTGCATTTAAAACGTCTTCATACTTTTTCCTTCACAGTTTCAAACAATTGTTGTTTTTTTTATTGATTTGAAGTTCATTATCTTAACTAACTAATATCATAGACTAACCAACACAAGTAGACTTTTCATCCCATTGTAAATTTTGAAGCACGTTTTTCGTGTCTAGTTCATGTACGTGACACAAAGGCGCTAGTGTCGATGAAACTTTGTTTCCATTATTTTAGGGTTAAGTTCTTTATTTGTGCTTTACTGTTTGGTTATATAACTAGGGGACAAGTTATTGTTTATGATTAGATCGTATTATTTGGTTAAACGAGGTTTTAAATGGCTGTAATAACGGGAAACAAATTGTAAACAAAACACGACCTCTACATAAACCGTACATGAACTAACAACATAATTGTCTTCAGCTGTTCCATAAGGATGAGAAATCTACTAAGGGAGTATGTTTTATCTATGCTAATATTGTTGTATGTTTGCTAATTGTTTTAAATGCACTGAACGGTGTTAAGAAACAGTAGTAGTTCTAGTAAATAATATCATCATGGCATGGTTTTTACATAAGTTCCATATCCAATAGGTTGGAAGCAATAACACAAAAACCTGGTGTTTTTCCCTGTAGCAGCAAACCTAGGTATACTTTTTAAATTTAATGTTATAAATAAATTTAATGAAAACCCAGGCAAATAGAAATTCTCTTAGTCTGCAGGTTTGATGAAACAGGGGTTTTTTACTTTTGAAAATACTTGAAACTACAAATAGCGGCACTATAAAATCTACCTGCAATATTTTACCAAACAATAACCTGAATCACTCAAAAACCTAATGAGTGTTCATGATTTAAACTTGTATTTTAAAACAACACACATGGTCAGTACTAAATGACAAGTCAAAACTCATACCAGAACTAATTGCAGCGGATGTTCATTTTATGTACTTATAATTGTCGGAAAAAAATAAGCAAACTGGCGGAAACCCGTTGAATGGGAAACAAAAGTGACAAAGATAAGATTTAAAAAATTGAAAGTTGAATGTAGCCATGTGTAACCATTGTGACCAAGGGCAGTGACTAAACACTAACCAGATCAGCGAGCATTGAGCATTGAGCATAGAGCATTGAGCATGGAACTGTGGACACTTGTGTGTTTGGGTGAGTAAACACTTTTGACTTTGTGTAAGTTACCTACTACAATACAGCAGAGACTTCTAGGTCTACTGTAAAATATGATGCTTAAAAACTATTGTTCACCTTCTACCTATGGTAACTCTTCTGGTCAAATATAATTTGCCAAGTTTTCTGTGCCATTTTTATAATTGGATGCATCATTTGTGTTAATCTAACTTTTTTTTTAATAAAAGGAAAGGGTTCTTTGTAATTTGACCCCAAATACTATATTTCACCAAGTCCTTAAAGTAGTCCGTTTTGACAGAGAATGGGACTTTCATGACGAGTAGTGAACAAAATTTGTTTATATGATGCAAATAATGACACAATAGTTCTTGGTTTTACAAATAATATAAATTCCACACTAGTAATTCTCTTTAAATTTAATTTATCATAGTGTAAGCATAGTTTTACAAATTATTTAAAAGTCAGCTGTTTGAACAGTATTTCCCGTAACATACATTGGTGCTCCTGTTGAACTATACTCCGTTCACAAAATGTTGGTGGTTTGAGGGTAAGTTCCCCACTACTTTTTTACTTAATATACATGGCACAGCTGATTTTTATTTTGGCAAACCTCAGCTGTTGAGCTATTATTTTCAAAAGTAGGTTCAAGGAGAGGGGATAGGTATCTTCCCCTAAAACCGCCTACATTTTGTGAACAGAGTATATTCGGAATCTTCATTTGTTAGGTCAGGAAAATAAATTTGTTAGGGACTGGCCAAGTATTGTTTATGAAAGGAAAAGTAACGTTTAGGACTGGTGTCTGAAAATGCGTAACGCTTTTGTCCCATGGAAGATAGATATTCTTTCTATTTGGAAACAAATGATTTTCGCTCAGCTGTACAGAGTGATGGGAAATTAGTGTTTATAACTTTATACATAGAGTTTTAATAATTTCAGAATATAGTTTTCAAGTGCAAACTCTGCCGTAATCGAGCCGTTAGTTCAGTGAGCAAGCCAGTAGAGTACGATGAGAGTGAACTGCACTAAGACATAAACCCAATAGGGCTAGTTGTTACTCACCAAATATGAGAACTAATTTAAGGCTCACAAGATTATATTTTCAAACTTGTCAAAAGGCACAACTTTTACTGAGATTTGTCAAGGAAACATCAAATGAGTTTGAGGAATATTTACCAATTGATAATTTTGTGCAAAAACGTGAAAAAAATAAGTTTTTTTTTGTGAAATAAATACAAACAAGGATGACCTGCAGGTCTGCTGCCCCAGGTGGTTCTGTCAATCAACACTCGTCTCACGGAGGTGTTACACTGGACATTGGTGGACTACGTGTTCGGATCGCCTCAGGAACGCCAGGCTGCCTTGGACTCTGGGAGGTTTGTTCCTCAGAACAACCTCGCCCTGGGGGTAGAACGATGGGGCGACAAGTTGTTCATCACTGTCCCAAGGTTCAAATCTGGAGTTTGGTCGACCCTCAATTATATAAAACTGGATGACAAATTGGCTGGTAATTTGATTTATTCGTATATTTGAATACTGTACTATAGTAATGGTAGATTCAAAGTAAATGTTTACCTTATGTTGTACAATATAGGACTTTGACAAATTTATATGGGTTGTTGCCATGACCAAACTTTTTTGTCTAGAAGTGGCTTCAGCCCAATTGTAAGCCTTGGTACATACTTCAGTCATTATGACTATTTAGTAAACGATCAAATCCTGATGTCAAGTCATTGGTTGATAGTTTTTACAAAGTTTACTAGATGTTGGTCATTAAAAAACTGTTAACAATACCTCACTAAATCTGATAAAAATCAAAAGGAACATTTTAATTTGTATCACAGGTTGAAGATCAATATAAGTTTGTGACAATTATGATGGTATATGGGAGAGTACGCGAGAGAGACAGACAGCTTCCCTGCCACTCTTTCCCTACTCTAAATATATATTTTATTAAATCTAACAGTGATTTTTTTTACATGAATGTAGAAAATAACAAAAATATTGGTGCTTAGGGTTCTAAAACACTTACCCACCCTGTTCCCCAATGTAGATGATTCTATTTATACAATAGAATAGAATAAAATAGAATAGAAATCTTTATTTGCCATTGACATTATACATGTATTAGCAACAGTCAAGAATATAACTAGTCAAGGTCATAAAACATAAAGCTTACAAGCTAAAATACAATTTTTTCCTCCATTTACCTCTTCAACTCATGAAAATTTTATCTACTTTTTCCTCAACCCAATGACAATTATTTTATGTTATGTGTTTTTCTCTCTAGATATCAAAAACTCTACTTCTCCACCTCTTATACCTTACCCAAACTTGGAAGCCAACACATTGGGCGGTGAAGCAAAGGTTAGTTTATTTTTTATAACTTATTTTTGTTAATTTCATTGTAACTAACAGAGAAAGTGATTGGATTTTAATTAATTTTAAAATTACAAAAGTTATCCAGGTGACCCCCAAAATACCCTGATATTTTAAAATTCTAATATAACATGTTTTAAAATGGTACACCTACTAATTATACATTTGTAATAAAATATTAAAAGTATAGGCTAAATGATTTTCTTTTGTTCTTCCTATTTGTTTGGTAGGTACTACTTTAATAATGGGGGGGGGGCTTTAAAAGAACAGATATAAAATTTGGTATTTACTTACACTGTTAGCTTTATAGATTAGCGCTGTAGTTTTAACATATAATAATATGGCGATTCTAAAAAAACAGAGGCTATAATGACTGTTTGCAAGCACGGTGTTACAGGCTTGGCCACCCAAGTTAACATCTGTAGTGAGAGTCAGAGCAGACGCCTGTGACAGACTCTGGGTGATGGACTCAGCTGTTATAGAGAACAACAAACAGCTGGGGCCTCCTAAACTGATGGTTTACGATCTGAAGGTAGGTAAATCTCAAATACAACCCCTGCTGCAGCAAACCTGGAGACTAAGCGAATTTTAATGTATCTGATTGAAGGTTTACTAAAATATCCAAGCCAGCCAGTGACAGCAGCACTACTAGATTCTTTAGTAGATTAAAATTTAACTTTTTACATGCCTAGTGAGAGCTTTTGTTTTGTTTTTTTGCTGGCTATAGCCTATAACTGTTCATACTTGTTACTTCAGGCTAGACCTAGAGGGTTGTGGCATTATCACTTAGAACATTCGTTGGTGGTTGGAAGGATTTAAACTCAGAACCTCAGGGACCAAAGTTCTGTGCTCTAACACTATCCAAGCTCCCCCACAAGTTCTGGATTATGTCCTAATTCTGTTTTAAAATCCACTAATGAACAGCCGGTTCCAGAACAGTGACTTTTTTCAGAATTCAACTTTACTCAAAACATATTTTAATTGATTAAATTATCCCTATAATCCCAACTGAAACTTTAAAAACATTTTCTCCAGTCAGACTCGCTTCTGTTCTCGTACTCGCTGAAGGACAAAGAGTACAACGAGAAATCTCTGTTTCCATCCATCACTGTAGACGTAACCTCGGCCAACTGTGACCACGCTCATGTCTATCTGCCCGATGTCTACAACTACAACCTGGTCGTCTACAGTCTGCAGACCAATGAGACGCATCTGGTCACTCACAACTACTTCCACTTCGACCCTCTCTCCGGGGACTTCTCCAGCGGCAAATTCCACTGGCAGTGGCAGGTGACACTGATAGCTAGAGTCGACCTTAGGTAGTGCAGGCTCTGTGCAAACATTCGCTGAACACCCTCACTATTAAACATTTTTCCCAACCCAAAATACCAAATTTTTGCTCATACTCATAGGGCGATAATTTATTGATATCGCCGCAACATCCAACATCATCTCTCAATATTGTGACAACAATCGTGATGATTTTTTGTGGGTTTTGCCAAAGCACTATTCACTTTTCACACATGCCCAAGGCTGGCTCCGCTGGTAGCGCTGTAGTATTCTGTTCATTAAGGATATCTTATATCTTTAGAAATATCACTTTCTAACTATTCCATCTATGCACTTGGTATTGGTTACCTTACCCATTTAAAATTGGGATAAGAATGCAGATAAAAATTGGTTCTTTAATATCTACCAGGACCTTAGAAAAAAGTTAGAAACCCGCCATTGATTAGAGAACAGACTAAGCTTAACTAAGCTATAATATAAAATTCTGTTTATATCAATCAGCTCTGTATGGAAATATTAATAGGTATTTCATTAAATTCTTAATTTAAAATGTTTTGATTGTTTCAGGACGGTATATTCAACTTAGCGTTATCCCCGGTAGATAGAGAGGGGTATCGTCTTGTCTATTTCCACGCACTTGCCTCTACCATGGAGTTTGTTGTTGCTTCCAAACATCTGCAAAACTCCAGCATGATGAGTTCTGACAGCGCGGCTCAGGACTTCAGTGCATTCAAGGTCATTAGAATGTCAACAAAAAGTATACTTTGGTCATTTCATAATATTAGAAACAGGCTATAGTTTAGTGTAGTACCCATAGTTATGTTATGGTGTGATAAAAGTACACACACACTGCAGAGAAATAATCACAACACTTAATTTGTTGTGAGATTGGTATTGAGGATAGAAGGAACAAAAAAAGTGTAAAGAGAGATGAAACTCATGATAAGACCTTCTCACACCTCTCTCTTCGGAGCTGTAACCTCAAGGAGATCACAATATCTTTGTATTAGGTGTGTGCTTACATACCAAGCACTAATAATATCAGCAATAATATCATTGCAAAAATAACTGTTATTGATTCCTGATTCCTTAATCAGGAATCAATAATAGTTATTTTTGCAATGATATTATTTTAAGGATGCAACTCAGATCCTTCAAACTTAAATGGTGCAAGATGCTTTATTTTGTAGCTACAGTATCATACAGGCTAGGCTGCATTTACAATTTTTTTTTTTTTTTTGGTCAATGGAGAATTTTGTAGCCCATAAAACGGATTATACCACCTTCGAATAGTACTAAAATTATACAGTTGAATCATGTTCAAAATAAGAAGTGAATAATTCTGGAACCATTTAATAAAGGTAGTAAAATATATTTTTGTCTTAAAAATTCATATCATGATAATATAAAGAGTCGGATATATTTTGAGAAGCGTGCTCTCAACAGAATTATAATTGGTGTTAGATAATTAATGGGTACCGGTAGTTATATTTGTCTTATTCTTTATTCTTCATAACAATTTTGAAGAGAAGAGGGCTAACTATCTCAATTGAAATTAATCTGTTCAACCTCTTTGGGTTCTTTCCTATAATTTAAAGTTGTTCACAATATACCATACTAGGAATCATAGTCAAACACACTGACATTTTGCTATGATGATCCTATTCAGGTTCTTGGCAACCGAGGCATGGGAGGCCAAAGTTCAGCAGAGTTCTTGGATGAAGAGACGGGAGTTCTGTTCTTCACTCTGGTCACCAAGAATGCTGTGGGATGTTGGAACTCGTTCAAGTAAGCTCAATTTGATTTTGTAAAATTATTGCATATTTAAACATACAGTCAGAAAGGCTTGAGTCTGTTGAAAACATAAAAATATATATATTCTGATTCTAGTTGTACGGTCTTTAGCGGAAAGCCGTACGGCGGTTTGAACAAAACAAAATTAATGCTGGTGCTACCGTTACCTTGTCGGATGTCTCAAGGGTGGATGATGTCCGTCTCGTCCAAGGTAGTGGGTAGTCCAGGGGAGGGAAGCGGTGTAGACAGCAGCGGTGTAGACCAATGGTGCGGGGGCAACAACAAGGGAAATGACTAGCACTGGTGAAGTTAAAAATTACTGGTATATTGAAAAAACTTAAAACTGACAAAATGAAACGAATTAATGAGTTTGATTGTCTATGTGAAATTATGTAGGTAAATGTAGCGGACGTCTGCCCATGACGCCGTCGGCAATGCTAGTGAGGAGTGTTTCCAGTAGTCGGAGTGGGGACGATTCGCCGTAGATAACATTGGGCAAGGTTAGGGTAGCACCAACCTAGGGACTTTAAAAAAAGTACCGAACACTAGTGATTTTTGTCTTGTTAACTTGTTAAATTAGTTTGTTGCAACACCCATGATAAACATTTAAGTTAGTTTAAACTTGTGTTTATAATGTCAATTTCATTATTTGCAGGGGAGATGAGTATGAAGACAAAAGTATTGGTATTATCGCCCAGGACGAGGAAACTATGGTTTTCCCCAATGACCTCAAAGTGGATAAAAAGGGCAATCTATGGGTCATAAGTTCTCCCCTCCCAGAGTTCTTTTTTGGAAATCTAAACCCAGAAAATGTCAACTTCAGGGTGTTCATGTCTCCGGTTCGTCTAGCCATCAAGGGCACAGTTTGTGATGAAATGTAACTCACATATGCATAAAATACAGCACTTAACTTCAAATTAAATTTTTGCATCCGAAATTTCAATTACAAAAGAAATTAACTGTTAAAGTCTCCCCCTTATTCACTCAAAACTGTTATTTAGCTAGTATTGGTCTTCAAGCAAACCCTTTTGTCGAATGTGTGTGTATGTACTAATTTTGACCTAAAAAGGTAATAGGTTAATTACACCATATACAGGATCCAAAAATTTTGAAAAATAAATAAAATTTTGGTGGAGTGTTGTTCAAACAATAGAATAGTTTGTAAATCATATGCTAATTTATGAATGAAAATCGAGTCTTTTACAATGTGAAAACATACAAAAAGTCAAATTACAGTGTTCTTACATTACACCGCCACACCGGTTCTGTACAGGGAATCAAATAAGAAACTATGTGTGGAATAGAAACTAAACATGATATAACTACTGTGGAGAGAGGAGACCAGAAAACCATTCAAGGAGAAATGTTGTTGAAATATTTGCATAAAAACTAAAATTTAATAGCATTTTATATGAAGTTTCATAAAGTAATTATAACAACAATGTTTATATACATAGTATTTACAATCTCGATAACAAATTTTGCCATACATACACTACTTTTGAGGCTTTACAGTTTTACAGCTAATATCACATCACTACTACTAGACTGATACTAATACACTAATACACAAGACATAGATTGTACAAAAGCATTTTGCTATAAGGAAAACCGTCTAAAGTTGTATTACGACTTATGTTAACTTGTCAAATGGGTTTAACATTTTTATATCTTTAAAAAGTCATATAACATAAAACCATCCTTTATCAAATTTACCAACCAAACACAATATTGTAAAAGCAACTAATTTATCACAAGGCTAAAAGTAAATTTAATCTTTTATGCATACAAAGTAGTTAAAATATAATTTGTTGACTAAGTATTTAGTTACTAAGTTGGTGTTTTTGAAAGAAATCATTAATTCCTGTGCATTCTGTCGGCTCAATTCAAAATAGTTCATTTTTTGTCAATCTGGTAACAAATTTAACACGGAAATGCGATGTCTATTTTTATCAATAGGTATTCATTGGAATTTACACAAGGGTTACCAACTTTCCACTCCATTTTTCCTTCTCCAACAATTCCCGCTACCTCAATTCCAGTAGATCTCTACAACCTTAGCTATGCTAGCCTGCAGGCCGGCCACCAGGGCTACCAACCACGCAATGCTCAGCAGGAAGTCCTTGAAGTACCTCCAGCGCCACCGACCCATGTACACCGGGTCGTCCCAGAATGTGATGAGCTCCAGGAGGGACGGGAAGAGCAGACCCAGGGTGGAGTAGCAGATGGTTCCTACCAGACCTATGGCTGGCTCCAGGTCTGGCAGGGCTGTGGCTAGAGCCACTGGAGAAAGATAGAAGTTGTAATGTTGTAATGTAACAGATAAATCAATTGTAGCAATGAATAGATTTTAGTTTCATAGACTAGAAGAGTGTATGGCTACGGTTTAGTAATGTGGTAGAGGAAGTATGTTTAGACCTAGGGTAATAGTGTACCATCTTCCCATTCCCTATATGGTGAATTCACAAAATGAATCCTCAGCATAATCTCAAAGATAAAAAATTATCCAGGGAAGCACACTGGTAGAATTTGAAATTTTTTTGTCAATAAATCTAAACTTTTGCGCAAGTTCAACTTACCTGTGCCCAGTATAAGCAGTAGCCTCATAGTATAGTAAGAGCGAGTTTTATTCTCCTCTTTGACCAATGGTTCAACGTATTTCCACATACTCTCGCTGGGAACACAGAAGATGAGTCCGTACGAGCAGCATACATTCAGTGCCACCAGGATCTTTACCATTTCACTCATGCTGAAAATTTAAAAACATTTTGTTTAAATGACATTTGTATTTTCAATATTTTTATAAAGCACCAAGGAGCACATATAAAAAGTGATGAATTAAACAGGAAAAACAAACAATCAAATTCTGATAGAGTGGAATTGCACTGTTACGCTGGACCGTTGAAAGAAGTCTTAAAAACTTTTTATACAGTACTGGGGGATTTTTTCAAAATCTAAATAAAATATATTTTGTATCTGCTACTAAAAATTTATATTATTCATTTTGACCCTTGGTTGGAATATATCACTGGTAAAATAAAATGATTACCTTGTCCAACCACAGTTGCTAAGGTATGACGACTAGTTTCATTTCTTAGAACTATAATATTATATTTGAATTTGATACATAAATATTGACAAGCTACAAATCAAAGAAGTATAAAGTAAGAACTAAACAAACTGAAATACAGGTGGCACCTGAGAGAAGAAGAAACATAATGATTCAGTCAGTTTTATTTAGTCAGTGGCATTGAAAAACAGTGCTGGCCAGCCTCTACAGTTTTAATCAGTTTTCTCAATTTTTATTCCAGTTTAATTATTTTATCAACATGACAGGTTTTAATTATTGTGATTGTGGCAGTCTTATAAAGAATCTATCGACATACAGTACCACGTTGTATTAATACATTGATGATGTTATACAAAACGACCTGACGAAGTTCCAAGGAACGAAACTAGTCCATTCCAACAACTGTGGTTGGATAAGGTAATCTTTTTGTTTTATAAATTAAAAATTTCATCACACACAGTATTGATGCGATTTCCTTCTGAAACAAAAAATGCTATTATCTGACCGAAATTTAAACACGGTTTACAAAAGATATAAGTTACATTCAATATGCAGGATTAAACAGTGAGAAAAAGGTGAATGTAGACAACTCACAATGTATGTCCAAGGTTAAGGGTCACACTGCCCTCCGTGGCGTCTCCGTATCTGAGGTAGCCGAAGAACCCCACCATAGAGTACATGAGTACAAGCCACGTCATGGCTACATTCAGTACCCACGGGCACGACAAGAAGTGCTTGGGTTTCTTCATGGCATTTTCTATAGGAAGCACCTGAAAACCCGTTTTTAGCTGATTAGTTTCGGAAATCATAGAAATTAGAACATACCTTTGCAGAATGGTTGAAAAACTAAATCAGCTTTAAGTTAGTTTTCATCAAAGGAAGGATACTTGTTACTGCTCTGACCTTTTATTAACTACTCTTTTTTAACTCAATCAAATATCCAAGCAAACAATAAGTCAGATGTTGGAGGTTATAAAATAATTTGCAAACTTCTCTCCCTTTAAAAAAAATAAGGATTTTATCGTTAAACCTAAGCCCCCTGTTATACTTAATGAATACTTAATGCTGCAACAACCTTAAACTGAAGTCTAGTTCAACCTTCAAACCACATAAAATAAAAGATATGTAAAAAAAATCATTTATCTCACCGTTAAATAAAGGAAGAAGGAATGGTTGCACAAGTAACTTACCGTAAGAAAATTGTTCCAGGTAGTTAAATGCACACAAATAAAACTCACAATATAATTAACTTTACATACATTTCCCCCACTACTTCCGAGGGGGAATCCCCAGAACTTCTATCTTTTGAAGGAGCTCCTTGTTGGGGGAAATATCAAGTATATCAAGAACTTTGTGTGTGCTTTTAACTACCCGTAAACACAGAGAGTTAAGGTACAAAGGAAACATTCAATGGTACACTTAAGTGGTGTCTAGCACTAGTACAACACCCCTCCCAGCCATCATTTAATACAACGCTCAAAGTGAAGGAAGACCCTATCCCCTGAGTGGTAGGAATTTCCGCACAGTTCTCGCTGTTTGGGCTCTTCCTTGCTAAACACAAGTATATTTCCTGCACAACATACTAGAGCTGACAACATACGGTCATTCCATAAGTTTCCTCTGTACGTACTGTACCTTACTTTCTATGTGGAACTCTTTTCTCTTTCTCATTTAAGTTTGTCTTGTATCCATTCCTTCTTCTTTTTTATATTCTTTAGCCAAGTGCTTTTTTCTAAAAAGAAGTGTATCTCATTGCTAGTTACGCGTGAATATTTTCGCTAATTACTTACCGTTCCAATCCCCTCGATAGAGAAGCACATCGTGGCGTAGAACAGTGGCAATTGCTTCCACGAACTGAAGAACGGCCTGGAGCTGAGTGGTGGAAGGTCCGTGAAGACATCATAGAGGACGAAACCACAGCCGAAGATGAGGCAGAGGAGGGCGAAGAATGAGAACGGCACTAGATACTTGAGGTGACGAATACTACCGATGGGAATGATCACCACCATCACCATGAGAATGTACAGCCTAATGTTGAGATCCACTTGCATGGCACTATCTACTACCTGAGGAACAATGTTAAATGGTCACTATATAATTATAATATAAGAGTACTAGCTGTAACCCGCGGGCTTTGCCCCGTTTAACTTCTTAATTTTCAAGATTATCTCGTTTGCATGGCTCAATCACGTCCTTGTTGAAGTGTGTTCGCTACGCTCACTCACCTTTAGGTTGGAGCTCGTTCGCTACGCTAACTCGCCTCCAGGTTGAAGTTCGTTCGCTACGCTCACTCACATTTTGGTTGCAAATTAGCTGTTGTCATAAATTTAAAAGAAATAATAGTGCTGCACCCTGTTGGTAATCATTGTAACTTCAATGCTATTAAACATCATAGAACAGAACCAACTTGTTTAGTTGAAACAGCTGTTAAGATTCAATAATTCCATTTCTCATAAGGTTAACATGGGAAACTCCAGAGCCACTGGGGCGGAGCCCGAAAGGATTTTTGAAATAAGAATATGCCTATATGTTAATCGGGAATGTGAGCTATCATCATGCCAAATTTCAGCCCAATCCGACCAGTATTTTTCGCGTTCACTTGTCACAAACATACATCCATACATCCATACATCCATCCATACATCCATACATCCAAACTTTCTCATTTATAATATTAGTAGGATTAAATAGATTATATTCATAATTGTCAATGTATCCTTGATAACAAGCAGCATGATCTGTGATTTTCCACAATACATATGTGGTTTGTATCTTATTTTTATTTGTGTTATAATTCCTTGACATTCATCTTTTTAATTTTTTATGGAACAGTCTAAACACTGGTTGCAATCTAACGTCCAACGTTTCTTAGATCAATAATTAATAATCTAAAGAAAATTGTATCACTGGTTCATAATTGAACAATTTAGTTTTAATTTTTTTTTATGTTGTTTTCAATATTTTAAAATATGCATGTAAGTAATACATGTATGTAAAAATTAGTCTGTTATCTATTCATTAATTAAAACCCATGGATATCTCGACAACCTCTTGGGTCCACAAACTGTTGAGTTAGTGAGGTTTTACTGCACACTTAATTGGTCTCTAGAGGAAATAGTTGCTGGTGTCTAGTGCTAAGTCTCGCACCGCACCCATCGCCCTCATGTATCACAACACTCATGGCGGAGGAAGACCCTGTGCCCTGTACGGAATTCCTGCACAGTGATCGTTTCTCTGGATCTTACTTGCTCGTCACAAGTATATATTTCTGGTACAACATACTAAAGCTAAAATGGGACGGGCGACGGATATCACATAAGTAATTAGGTTTTTTTCTGAACCTTAGTTCTTTCTGGCGAAGCATAACAGTTGCACATTGATATTCATTGATCAAGGGTACTGACCTGTTTGAATGAAGCAGCAATGAATACTATGTAGACAGTTGTGCCAAGGTAGTAGGACAAAATAAGAGACACATTTACCACCTCCCTAGAAAAAATATTATGTCAATGTGATGAACCTATAAAATATGGCTAGTACTGAAAACATGCAATGAAATTCTTTATTTAAACGTACTTCATTACCTGGCCACTCCTGCATACCGCCTAAACATGACAGGACCTGTGGAAAAGGCAGCTTCTGTAGTTTCTGCGAACCCTAGACTGGGTCGCTTAATCCTCTTTGATAATACTTGAGAACACATCACCTGCAACCAGTACATGTATTGATTACTACCATATACATACATATTTATAGGGTGTCCTACAATGAGGTTTAATCTTTTGATTTAATATTACTTCCCCATTTATGCACTGAAAGCGCTGACAATTCATACAGCTTATAAAATAGGTACCTATAGAAAATATTTTGTGAAAATTTCAGCTTACCTACTAAGATTTGTAAAAAAAAATGGTGGTATATTTTTTCAATTTTCCTTTTCTATTTTACGCTCTGTAATTTTATCACGTTAAAGGAACAGTTTTTAGCAATAGGCCTTTAAATTAGATATGTATATTTTTATTTGTTTTTGTAGCATGCTCGGTATTTTATATATATTAGTGAAGCGGGTTTTTCGGACAGCCGGCGGGTGTCGCAATGTGTAAACTCATTATGTTTTATGTTAATGTTAATACAAATAAATCCCATGACAATTAAAAGTGAGTATCAAATAATGAGATCATAACATAAATAGTTTTACCTACGACAGGTTTTTTAAGTAGCCGTTTCAGTTCAGTTCAATGAAGTTTCAGAGCATTGTTTACATACATAATAGCATAGATTTACTTAACAACATGGGTAACGTACCAATGAATGAGGTTCAAGGATTGAGAGAGAAGAAGTAAAATTGTAATGCTTCGAACTCCAGCAAATCAGCTGTTTACCAATATTGTTAACGATTGGTGCAATTAGTAATTAATTAGTACAATGAGTCGCTGCATCAATGTCAGTGGCAATGAGATGTTATAAACGAAAAAGTTATGAGTAGTGATTATTAGTAATTAAAAACCAAACACTGTCGTATGTTAGTAGTGTACGCAACTCGCGTAAATAGTGTTTACGACACTCGTAGAAGTTGTTAAGGCACTTGCCAAGGCTCGTGTATCTTAAATTTTCTACTCGTGTCGTTAGTACTATTTCTACACGATCGTTGCGTAAACTATTATTTGTTTAGTATTTTTACCTTCAAATGAGTACAAAATTGTACCTTAACATGACAACTGCCATTCCATATAATAGGATGATTGACATATTCTTTTTTAACCAGTGCCATAGGGTAGATTCATATCAGGATCCAAAGTTACCTGCAAGTACGTTAGTAATGGACTAGGCCAAACAAAAAAATTACCGGTATTAATAATGTTTTTCATACAAAACGGTCATTCACTGGAGGCTGGTCATTCACTGGTGCAATGACCCTATAATCTTTTGGTTTGATATCTAAGTCCAGACTAACAACAATAACGAAGATCGTTAAATATGGACATTGAAGGGGGTATAAATCCTCAACTTATCTAGTTCATAGTAGGATATCAGACATTTAAACTAGCTTATCTTCAAATTACCAAATACTGTTTTTTTATAAATGTTTGCTTTTTATTGACTGACATATTTGTCCTGACTTAAGCAAAGGGTATAGTTCATATTATAGCAGTATGTACTAAACAATAGTTATTTGTGCAACTAGTGAGAAAAGTGAACAATTGACTCACACGAGAGAAATCCTTACTCACGAGCCGTAGGCGAGTGAGGAATGGTTTCTCGAGTGAGGCAATTGTACTTTGAACTCGAGTTGCACATTATACTTTTCCTACAGTTACCATAAAACAAATAAATTTGTGTAGAAACATAACCTATTTTTACATAGAAGTGAACTTTAAATATAACATTTAATGTGAAGTGACAAATACAACAGTACAACAGCTGACCAGCTGATTTACAGCCAGTGCTGCCAACGTATTTCGCGCGCATACGACGTTGCCTGCATGTTACGCGTTCACTATTTCGAACCTTCACGTTGCAAATCTGGAGTGAGACAAAGTAATTAGAGTGAGACAATGTTAACATTGTCTCACTGATGAGCGAATTGGCCACTTTGCTTTCTCAAATCAGTGAGAGAACATGTACATTGTTAGGTAACTGTAGGAAATAGTTATTTGTGCAACTAGTAAGCAAAGTGAGCAATTGACTCACACGGCTCGTGAGGAATGGTTTCTCGAGTGAGGCGATTGCACTTTGCACTAGAGTTGCACATTATATTTTTCCTACAGTTACCATAAAACAAATAAATTGGTGAAGAAACGTAACATATTTTTACACAGAAGTGAACTTTTAATATGACATTTAATGCTGTGACAAATACAACAGTACAACAGCTGACCAGCTGATTTACAGCCAGTGCTACCAACGTATTTCGCGCGCATACGACCTTGTCTGCATGTTACGCGCTCACTATTTCGTGCTTTCATGTTGCAAATCTGGAGTGTGACAAAGTAATTATAGTGACAATGTTAACATTGTCTCACTGATGAGCGAATTGGCCACTTTGCTTTCTCAATTTAGTGAGAGAACATGTACGTTGTTAGGTAACTGTAGGAAAAATTATTATTTTGCCCCAATTCCTCTACAGAGTCTGTAAATCTAAGCATAGCTATAAAAAATCAAATACAGCAAAGTTGTGAAACGAAAACAAAATTTAAAATCTATTTATGGTCAATGAGAGATGCATCAAGACTATTTTCCTTGTGTCAAATTTAAAGCTATAATATTATCTTTATGTATAATGAATATTATTCAACAGATTTTTCTAAATCCACACAATCATATCTCAATGATTTCTGTTATCTCAAGACTAGCTTTTCAAGAGGTAAGTAAATAGTAACAAGTTACTTGATTTACCATAAATATAAGGATGCTATACAGTTCTTTAATTTTAGATTACATATTATATTTAAGGTGAAGTTGTTGATGCGTAATAGTTTGAATATTTCAAAATGTATTTATTGGTATCTTAAAATTTGTACATAAAGGTCAAATTTAGAGCATACATTAAGTATGTGTCCTTGTTGAAGATTCCAGCCTTTCTTAAAACATGGTTGAAGAAAAAATGATTAAAATAAATGTATAGCAAAGTAAATAGTAAATAACCAAGGCGTTATATTCCAATTGACTAGATATAAACAAATAACATAGGTCTGAACAAAAAAAAAATGACAAAATGCAAGGATAGCGAGGTCATAGCCCCGGCACTGGTTAGACCCTAGTTATCGTGGTTAGACCCAGCTAGACCTACTATCAAAACCTACAGAGGACTTAACATTTGATTGATCGCGCATATTAATTGTCTCATTTATTTTGGAGTATATTTTAAAATTGCTTTACTATTTGGTTATGGGTTTGTTTGTTTGAGTTTTTGCCGAAGCAAGCCACCTCGAAGCATCGGTCCACCCAGAATTAAACTAATTAGAAATGAGTAAGTTTAAAACTGTAGGATCATGATATTTTTAATCTCCAAGAATTATCATTTACTGTTTACTTTATAAGGAAATTCTTGGAATTTTCAAACTGTATGTTAGAATATGTTTGTATATTATATAGATATATGTAATATAGAGTGTATGTCTGTATGTGTGTACTGTATATGTATAGTTTAGTATAGCCTAGGTATGACATGTACTGTGTGTATATTCGTATGTGTGGATATGTAAGCGTAGTAATAGCTTAAAAAATTCCTTAAGTACTAAAAAATAGTAATGGAAGTAAATTTTGAATTTTATTTTAGCTTTAGGTGAGTTTGAGCTTTTATGTTTGCTATTTTATGTGAGTGCAAAATTGTGCAGTGTTGTTTGTAATTATAGTGGAAGTGGACTTTGCCACCCAGACAGACGGTCATATGACCATTGTCTTTTGTGTCTAAAAATACAATTTGTAACTTTTTAAAACATGTTGTAAAATAAAGCACTGTTATCTATAAATAAATAAATAAGGTCTTTATTTGCAAGCATTCATCAGAGTACAAAGTCTGTTTTCATGACAACTTTTGTCAAATTAAGTAAATAAAACTATCTATCTATTTGGTTATGGTATACGTAATAAAGGGTACACAAATGGTCTACAAATGGATTGTTTTCAGTTAAACATTTTAAAGTTTGGCTCAACAAAAATAAAATAGTTAACCATAAAACCAAGAACAAGCCTCAAAATCTTCACCAAATCTGAGGATAGATCTAAGTGATTATTTTCAAAGCAGTTTTAAGTAAACTAACCAGTATATGCACACAGTGTGTACACAGTATTCCTATGAGGATTGCTCCGATGAGTCCGACCCATAGTCCCGCGTCCCTGAAGGCCATTGGCATGGAGAGGATACCGGAGCCGAGACTCCCTTTGATCATGTGGAAAAGCGCCCCCATGGTTCTGAAAAAATTAATTTATTTGGCATCAGTAGTGGAGAACTGCCGGTTTTACCCCACTTTAGACATGTTTTTCCCATGTTATTCTTATGGGGATTATTTTTGGCCACCAAATCTAATATCCTGATCTTTGCCTGCAAATCCTTATATAATTGTCAAACCTTATTTTTACTTATTCTCTATATATATATTCGGTATTAAGCTAAAAAAAAGCTAATTATTTCATTTATTGACTCATACATGTGTATATGTATAGTAGTGTAAAAACGCTATTCACTGGAGGTGCATGAGGAGCAACCCCCAATTGTACCATAGCACCCTATCATGTGTACAGTTTATTGTGTATCTGTTTTGGTTTAAATATATATATATACACACTATTCAATGAACCAGGAGCACGTGCACCCCTCCAACTGTCCCATAGTATAGTAGTGTAAAAACGCTATTCACTGCAGCAGGATGAGGAGCAACCCCCAATTGTACCATAGCACCCCACCATGTGTACACAATATTTTACTCGATTGTTTTGGATTTAATGCACAATTGCTAGTACATCTACCATTCCCCTTTCCAGTTGATATATTATATTTCTATTTCAAAATCATGTATGTGCGAACTCGGCTCATGGCGTGGGTGTGCTCCCGGTCACGGGCATGCTCCTGCTTCTTGCCTCTAGTGGTGATGTTGTGAAAACGTCACTCACTTGGGCTTGCTCTTTGCTTTTTTTTTGTCTCTAGTGATCTAGTCTTGGATCTGTTGAAGTAATTTTTAAAAATTTTAAATTTCTAGCTGAAAATTTAGAAAATTTCCAAAATTTTGAAATTTTCGAAAAGTCTATAAATAGAAGTGACATTCGGGTGATATTTCATTCTGGACCATGAGGCCCACCTGTCAACACTGCTCCGTGTCGCTCTCTACCAAAAGTAACCTGATTCGCCACTACAAGGTAATTCATCAAATGAAGGTATGTAAAGTTTGTAATTTAATCTGTGATAGTAACATTGCTCTAAAATCACATATATTACAAAGTCACAAGAGTTGTAGTTTTTGTAAGAAAAATATTGTTGGACATTTTAGAAGACATGTCAATTCTTGTATCAAATGTCCATACACAATGATTAAATTTGTTGGTGAATCGATTAGAGCTGACCTTGAAAATACTCTGAAGTCTTGTCCTCTTCCGATAAAATGGACGTTAGTTAGGAGAATCAAATTTATAAAATATTCAATGGATCAAAATGGAAAATTAGTTAATGAGAAAGATTGTATTGCGGATTTTAGAAGCCTTACTATCTTAACTATTGAGAAGAGAGATTTAAAGCCTCAAATTGAAAATGCACTTTTAAAGATTGATGCTTCCATACACAAATATCAAGCCCAAGGCAGTGGATGGATATATGACCATACTAAATATTGGCAGTTGCATGTTTACAAGTATAAGCCCCTAACTCCAAAGTCATATATTCCCACGCCAAAAAGTATTCAATCAAAACATGCAGTTCTAAATATAAAAAATTCAGACAATAAATGTTTTCTTTGGTCGATTTTAGCAGCTTTATACCCAAGGAACTTTAATGAACATGCTGAAAGGGTCTCAAACTATACACCCTATGAAAATCAGTTGAATATGACAAACATAAAGTATCCTGTGAAAATATCTGATATAGATCAATTTGAAACACAGAATAATATAAGTGTTAATGTATTTGGAGTTGAAGACCAGAAATGTATATATCCATTAAGAACGACTAAACTAAATAGTAATACTCATGTAGATTTATTATTATTACAAGAAGGTCGTAAATCACATTATTGTTTAATTCGTGATTTTGATAGGTTAATGTTCCACTCTACAAAACATGTCCATAAGCAGCATTTTTGCAAGTTGTGTTTGCAACATTTTTACACTAATGATATATTAGAACGTCACACAACATATTGTAAAAACTTTGATGCTCAACGAGTGGAAATGTCTAAACAAGATACATTACAATTTAAAAATTATAAATATCAACTTAAAGCCCCATATGTAATTTATGCAGATTTTGAATGCTTTATAAACTCTAACAACCATACTCCATCTGGATTTGCATTCGTTGTAGTAAATGATTCTACAATTATTTCTGAAGAGTTATATAGTGGTGCAAATGTTATGGATGTGTTTTTCAAAAGATTATTTGAGACTTATGATTATATTAAAAGTCAAATGGCAATATATATTCCCCTTGTAATGACTCCAGAGCAAGAGGCATCTTTCCAAAACTCAACACACTGTCACATTTGTGAAAAGCCCCTATATTTTGATAGGGTGAGAGATCATTGCCATTCCTCTGGCCAATACCGTGGAGCTGCCCACAATGATTGTAATTTAAATTATAAAGTAACAAAGAAAATACCAGTATTCTTCCATAACTTGAAAAATTATGATGGACATTTAATAATGCAACACTTGGGAAAGTTTAATGATCGTAAATTAAATTGCATAGCTAAAGATATGGAAAAATATATATCATTCTCTGTTGATGATTTAGTATTTTTAGATTCATACAACTTTCTGTCCCTTCCATTATATAAATTGGCTTCCAATTTGAACACATTTAGATTCATACAAAATCCACTACTACAACGTAAAGGTGTATATCCCTATGAATATATGACGGGACCAGATAAGTTCGCAGAGTCTCTACCCCCAATTGAAACATTTTACAGTTCTATAACTAAAGAACATATCTCTCCCAATGAATATGAACATGCTAAAAATGTATGGACCTATTTTAATATAAATAATTTACAAGAATATCATGATTTATATCTTAAAACAGATGTATTGCTACTGGCTGATGTGTTTGAGACATTTAGAGACCTGTGTTTAAAAGATTACAAACTTGACCCTGTACATATGTATTCACTTCCTGGACTTACATGGGAGGCCTGTCTTAGAATGACAGGAATAAAATTACAATTATTCAAAGATATTGACATGCATTTGTTCATAGAAAGTGCGATTCGAGGAGGAGTCAGTATGATTTCTACACGTTACGCTAAAGCAAATAATAGATATATGGGTGAACACTATGATCCCAATCAAGAGAGTGTGTATTTAATATATTTAGATTGTAACTCGCTATACTCCACAGCTATGTGCGAGCCACTGCCTGTGGATGAATTCCGTTGGACTAATGAGATGGACTACAAATATAATCAAAATGATGAGTTTGGATACATTTTAGAAGTTGATTTAAAATATGATAAAAGCTTACATGATTTACATAATGACTATCCATTAGCACCAGAGAAAATGAATGGCAAATTAATACCAAATTTAAATGACAAAACTAAATATATTTTACATTATAAAGCATTACAAAAATATGAGGAATTGGGTTTGATTGTTACAAAATACCACAGAATTTTAAAATTTAGACAATCTAAATGGCTTGCACCCTATATTAATTTTAATATTGAAAAACGAAAAAGTGCTAAAACTGATTTCGAAAAAGACTTTTACAAATTGTTAAATAATAGTCTCTTTGGTCGAACAATTATGAATCAACGCAAGTTTCGTGACATTTATCTCAAGGATGAGTCACTATTAACAAAATATGTCACTAATCCAAGGTTTGATTGTAGCAAAAAGTTTGATAACAATTTACATGCTATACATTTAAATAAATTAGTTGTAAAGTTTAATAAACCAATATATTTGGGAATGACCATTTTAGATATTAGTAAAGTAATAATGTATGATTTTCACTATAATTATATGTCAAAATTTAAGAACAAAAGATTTCTTATGACAGATACAGATTCATTAATGTATGCTATAGTTACAGAGGATTTTTACAAGGAAATAGAATGTGACTTACAACATTTTGATACCTCTGGATATAGTAAAGACCATTTCTTATACTCTGATAAAAATAAAAAAGTCACTGGAAAGTTTAAAGACGAATTAGATGGTCATATTATGTATGAATATTGTGGTTTAAGACCAAAGTTATATTCTTATATTCCTCTAAAATGGTTATATGAAGAAGACAAGCAAGCTTTAGAGGTGAAGAAAGCTAAAGGAGCTGATGGTGCCACAGTTAAACATCTCCTAAGACATCAACATTATTTGAACTGTCTTGCAACTGGGCAAGATTACTATGAGAATGTGACGAGAATTAAATCTACAAACCATCATCTTCAAACCTTAACCATGCACAAGAAAGTACTATCGTTTGACGACGACAAGAGGTTTATTCTAGAAGATGGCATCAACACTCTTGCATTTGGTCATTATAAAATTGATGTTCAAAATGTGTAGATATATAATAAATACAAATGTTAAAAAACTCCAGTCTTTTATTTATTTACCCTTACCATCCTCTTGATAGAATTGGTCAAACATAAATCTATATTTGCCATTATTCTTTGGCCTTTCTTTGTCTATTACAAGAAAGCCGTATTTAGTTTTATCCCAACATTGATGACAGAGATTTTTAAATTGGTCAAATGAAAAGTCATTACCAACATGATTGTGATATACATGTTTTAAATTTAAATCATCTTGTTTGAATAATATTAGGAAATTTACATTATCACGTAAATGTTTGTGTACTTTGCTGTAAGATTGACACAAGTAAAAACAGTTAATATTTTTATGTCGACCCATTGAGAAAAATTGTGTAATATTTGGACTATTTATGTCATCAAATACAACAACTGACTGTGATTTTACATCATTTGGTGTGATTTCACAGTCAGTAAACGTGTGTAATTTCACTTCATCACACAAACTAAATATTTCAATTATTTTTTTATATTTTTCTTGTTCCAAAGATTTAGATATTAAATATAAGTTTGTAAATTTTAATCCTTCCTTTCTTACAATTAAGTTATAAATTACAACCGTCTTCCCACTTCCACTTGGACCGCAAATAACACATCGAATATTGGTAGGAAATAGACCCAACTTCTTTGGTATATACTCCTTAGTATGTGATATTTTAAATTTTTGTT